TGGTATCCTATGTTAGATGATGAATGAAATCGTTGTGTCCAAGGAGGAAGTCATTTTGATAAATGCCCCACTGTCGAACAAGGATTTAACCGTTATTCTAATTTAAAAGTTAATCCCAGTTTGTTCCAATTTGATTCCGGGAAATGAACTAATAATTCGGGTGGCACCTGAACTTATTCCCGAGCCAGTGATTTAAGAAAAGCCGTGGCTTTGTGTGGAAATAGATGATTTACTAAAAGTGAGTTAGAAGCACACATCAAGAATAGTGTTGGAGAGAGTTTTTAAGTTTTCTTATTCGACTAGTTTAGACTCTCTTCGAGATAACAAAGGATTTAGTCCGAGAATAAAAGTAGAAATAAAATTTAAAATATTTCCCTCTTTTCTCTTCCTAAAAAACTTCTTCCTAGTAGTTAGTGCACTTTTTCTTGCTTCCAAACACTATTCCGAGAATTATCAAGATGACTAAAATTACTACTCCTTCAATTATCCAACCTTTATAATTTCCTCAGAAGTCCGAGGGAGAGGAATTAGTTTCTTTTTCCAAATCTTCCAATTCCTTTCTCTTGCCCTGTAATTCTTGTTCCTGCTCAGGAGTTCGGTTAGTTATAGCCTCTAACTCAGTAATTCGAGCTTGTAATTCCTTGATTTTATTCTCTCTTTGCTTAGGATTTTCATTATTTTCACTATATCTCTTTTCTAATGCTTCTAATTCTCTCTTTTCTTCCCAGTGCAAATCTTTTCTATTTTCTTGAAGTTTTTTCATTCTTTTTCTTTGTTTAGGTTCTACTTTTCAAGGATTACAGTGATAACACTTACTTTGGCTTAAAACTTTGCCCTCTATTTCATCAATTTTTCCTGCATAGCATTTGGTTAGTCCTTTAATTGCTTTTGGCATATTCTTACCTTTTTCATACTCTTGTATTCTTTCTCAATCTTTTAAATATTGATTTTGGTCTTGCTGATAACAAGTTTGGCAAGGTACCTTTTCAGTTCCACTCTCGCCTTTATGTTTAAAGAGTTTATAATGGGTTTGTTTTATTGTTCAACCCGATTCCCATTCTTGATTACATTTTTCACACTTTACATTCATACTTATTTTTTCTTTTTATTGCCGAAGATTAGTCCTAAAATTATTATCACTACTAGAATTATTACCCCACCAATTATTCAGCCTTGGTAATCTTTTCAGTTAAAATTTGAGGAGGAAGAATTTCCCCCACTTTCCGAAGAGGACTTATTTTCATTATAATATTGTTCCATACAAACTTTACTACAAAATTTTTTGTCCTTTAATTCGGGTTTGTCTTGATTAAAGACATATTTACCTATTATTTGTTGATCACATTTTTCGCAGAATACCATATTTTTAATTAATTATCCTGAATTATCAGGAAGTTTTATTGATTTAGTCATATTTATTTCTTATCAGGGTTTCAGTCTAATTTTTCCATTTGATTTCAAACTTGCTCAATTATCGGAATGCGGTGGCTATAATGCTCATCGGCTTGATTATAGTCATCACTTAATTTCTTTTCGCAATCGATAATGATATCTTTTTGCTTTTGTAGTTCTTGCTTGGCTTTTTCTAAATCTGGAGTGGTTCCTAACTCAGATAATCCCGCAAACATTTCCTCCCCAAATTTAACCATTTTTTTAAAGTAATTAATGTTTCATTCTAGTTGGCGTTTAGTATTGCCCAATGCTGCTTCAATTACCGCTTCAGCTAATTCTAAGTAGGATTTTTGACTATTTTCATCAAGTTTAGTAAATTTTTGTTTTTCAACTTCACTGAAATGTTCATTCATACTTTTTTTACTAATAAATTCGTTGTGGTTGTAACTAGTTCGGCAACCTTCAATAAAATGCTTGGCACTTCCCTCAAACATGGCATCAATTATATCTTTGCTTTCTTGGGGAACCGAATCATAATGATCGAACATTTCTTTGTATTCTTTGTTAATCTTGTCTAATGTCTTGCTTAATTTCTCGCTTCAGCCTTTAGCAATTTCAAATGATTCAATATTAGAAGGTTTATAACGGGGCTTGTCTTTATCAGAGTTAGGATTAGGTTTTTTATCTTTGTTAGGCAATTTATTATCTTTTTTCTTGGGAAGTTCAGGTTCTTTTTGTGGATTATCAGGCTTTTTTTCTGGTTCTTCTTTAATTCCTAACTCCTGATTAATTTCTTTAATTTCTTGCTCTAATTGCTCAACAATTTGTTCTTGGTTTGATTCCGAATTATTTTCCCCTTTGCCAAAATTACTAATTTGCTGTTCTAATTTAGGGATAATAGTTTCTAATCTTTGCTTTTGTGATTTGTAAGTAGTTAGTTGTTGTTCTAACTGGTTAATCTCAGTTTGTAAACTGCTCCGAGGAGTTTGGACTTGTTCGGCTCGTTTTTGTTGTAAGGAAGATTCAGTTTGGGTGATATTTTGATTTAAAGTGGTTAAGGCTTGTTTGATTTGGCTTAATTGCCTTTGGAGTTGTTGGACTTTTTCTTCTTTAGTGTTGGACTTAGTTTCTGTGTTTTTGGAATTAGTAGTGAAATAAATAATGGTTCCGATTCCGGAAACTAAGACTATTCCGCCAATTATTCATAGTCAGTATTTAGTCTTTTTGCTCTCTCTCTCTCTCTCTCTCTCTCTCTCTCTCTCTCTGCTGTCAGTTAGGAAGTTGTTTCATGTCATATATATTATTAATTTTACTCTGATATATCAAATGGTATACCAACTCATACAATATAAAATTAAGATATAGGCAAAGTGGAAAAAACTGAAAGAAGTTGCTTGGTTAGAGAAAGTTTTAAAAAAGCTTGGCAGAGTTGTTATCATTAAAAAATATAATATTACAGCATGTTTTATTATTTCTGAAAAAAAAGCACTTTAAAAAAGTTTACTTCGCTCAAAAATAAAATAATTAGTTTGAGAAAAAAAACCAAACTACTTACTGATAAACAATTACAAAGTAAGTTCAGTTATTATCGCAAAAAAATCCGTAGTGAGCCAAAGAAAAGTCGCGAAAAGGCCCTTGATAAATATTTAGTTCCGATCTTTGCGCTGGTACGAGAAGCCATTTATCGCAAAACGGGTCTTTTGCTTTTTCCGACCCAAATATTCGGAGGAATAGTTTTACATTATGGAAATATTGCCCAAATGAATACGGGGGAAGGAAAAACTCTGACTGCTTTTTTGCCAATTTGTCTTAACGCTCTGCTAGGGAGAACGGTTTTTGTTATCACGGTTAATGAATATTTGGCACAACGGGATTGAAATCTGGCCAAACCTATTCTCGATTTTTTTCAAATTAGTTCGGGAGTTAATTTAACCAACATTTCCACGGAAGAAAAGAAAAAATTATATGGTGATTGTACAGTTATATATACTACTGGCAGTGAATTAGGATTTGATTATCTGCGAAATAATTTAATTACTAATATTGAAGAGAAAAGAAAACAAGACTATTATTATGCGATTGCGGATGAAATCGATTCGCTTTTTATTGATGAATGTACTAATCCCCTCATTATTTCCCAGCGAGCCCAAGGCGAAAATATTATTAGTCCAGCCGAATATCAATTAGCCACTAAATTAGCCAATTCTTTGGTAGAAAAGAAAGATTACAAAGTTGACAAAAAAGAAAATGATATTTGATTAACCCAAAAAGGAATTAAAAAAAGTGAAAAATTTTGACGATTAGATAATCTTTTTGCTTTCAAAAATCACCGTTATAATTTTTTACTTCATAATGCCTTAAAAGCCAAGCATTTTTACCACAAGGATATCGAGTATATTGTGGACCAAGAAGAGCAAAAGTTAGTGTTAATTGATGCCTTAACTGGGCGCTTAGTGCCAAATCGGGTATATAGTTCGGGTATTCATCAAGCCATTGAGAGCAAGGAAAATCTGCCTGTTAGCACCAAAAGCAAGACCATTGCGACAATTACCTATCAAAATTTTTTCCGTCTCTTTGATAAGTTATCAGGCATGACCGGAACTGCTAAGAGTGAAGCCGAAGAGTTTCGGCAAGTTTACGGCATGGAAGTTATTACTATTCCACCTTACCGGAAATTAATTCGTAAAGACCGGAACGATTTAATTTTCTGGGACAAAGAAGGTAAATATAAATCAATTATTAAACTAATCAAAAAAAACAGTCAAACTAAAAAAAGACCAATTTTAATTGGCTCACCGAGCGTGGAAATCTCGGAATACTTGTCCTCTTTATTAAAAAAAGAAGGAATATTTCATTATAAATTAAACGCAGTTAATCACCAACAGGAGGCTGAAATTGTGGCCCAAGCCGGACAATTAGGTGCTATTACCATCTCTACCAACATGGCCGGGCGGGGAACTGATATTGTTTTAAGTGAAGAAAGCCGAAAAGCAGGTGGTCTGCTGGTAATCGGAGTAGAGCGAAATACGGCCCGACGAATTGATAACCAATTGCGAGGCCGTTCAGGAAGACAAGGTGACCCTGGCGAAAGTCGTTTTTACGTCTCCTTAGAGGACGAGTTAATAAAAAACTTTGGAGTTAAGGAGCAAGTAGGAAAAATTTTTAGTCAAAAACAACTAAAAGAACTGTTTCGCCGTCCATTGAGCGGAAAAATATTTAACTACCTCATTTCTGAGCCTCAGGAAACTCTACGGAATGTTCAGGCTTCTAATCGCCAATATCACCTTAATTATGACTTACTGATTAATCGACAAAGACAATTCATTTATAATTATCGCAACAAACTACTAAGTGCCTCCGACTTAACAAAAATAATTAAAAAAAAGGACAAAAAAGCCAAAGGAGAAATTGTACCAATCGAGCAAGAGTATTTAAAAGCGAGGTTAGTGAAAGAAATAGATAATTTTTGGTCAGAATATTTGGAATCTTTAAACAGAATTCGTACCTTGGCTAACGTTAAGAGTTATTTGCCTCAAGAGCCCCAAGAAGCCTTTTTTTGAGAAACCATTAATTTATTCCACTACGGTTTTCGGCAATTAAACAGGAGATTAGGAGATATTGCCTACCAATAAACGGCAAAAATAAAACAAACAATCACCAACAAAAACTTATATAAAATAAATTGATAACAAAGTTAGAAGCAAAAGTTTATAAAATATATTTGATGAGGAAGTAATGATAAAGATTAAAATTTGTTCAAGGGTTTTTATTTCTCCCACTTACTAAATCCATGGTAATTAGAAAGTAAAAAATAACTGTTTTTTTTTTTTTTTTTGCTGAATAAGCGCTACTAAGCAATTTTTCTTCTCCCAAAAAAAGAGATAAAAAAAATATATTCTAATTGGATTTCTTACTAATTGCCACTAATTAGAATATTATAAAAAAGCAATTAGTAAACCGAAGCCGACTGTTTTTAAAAAAACGGCAAACAGTTATCTAGTCTGAAAATATTAGGTGCTAAGGCTAGGTGAAGCTAAATCCTAGCAAATCAAAGCAAAACAAAATTATAAAATGGCAAATCAATTTAACAATCAAAAATGTAGTAAATGTTATTCAAAAAACGTAGGTTTAGAAAGAATAGAAGGCTATTATTCGGGTTGCCAAGGTCATTCTCACTTTTTCAAAAAAAATGGATGACTTTTTTGTATTAACTGTTTAATGGCTGAAAGGCATGTAAAATGTCAAAAATGCCACAAATTAATTTCTCATTACGATGAATTAGGCAAGTTTATAAAATATGTGGTTATTTCGTCGGGCGACCATGCTTGTGATGTCGATGATTTTGGAAGTTTTGGATGTATGTGTCGAAAATGCAGTGCAGAAATTAATGCAGAAAACAAATCAAAACCAACCGAAAAGACACAGGAAAGAATATGCAAATCTCCTGGTTGTTCTAATATAGTCTCTGTTAATTTTACATATAATAACAAGGAATTATGTACTCCTTGCGGAAGGAAAAATGATGAAAATCAGGCCGTCTTAAATAAAGATAGCGAACCAGAATTCGAAAAATATAAACAATTCCAAGCAAAAGCCCAAAGTTGGTGGAGTACTCTTTCTTCCCAAGAACGAGAATGAGAATGCAAGCGATTAGTAGAAAACATGAAGCAAGGAAATTATTGGGCCAATAATGTTAAAGAAGGCGAAGGTTCTGGATGAGCCTGTGATGGTAGTTATTGGACTATTGAAAACGGAAAATTTACTTCTCAGTCTCCGCACTTGGTTCCTATTCAAGTAGTTGAGGAATTTATGAAAAAAGAAATAGGGTTTAGTGATAGTAAGATGGTGGAGCACTTTTGCTCGCAAGCAGTAGTGAAAAAAGACAATAACGATGATAAAAATAGTCCTTCTTCCCCTAGTCTGGTTTCTCAAGAGATAACTAATTCAAACAGCACACGTGATGATTCGACAAGCCTAGAAAACTCTCCTCAACTGAACCCAGAAAAAGATAAATCTCCCGAAGTAAAAAACAGTGTTAAAACTATCAGATTTGAAAATAAGGAGAATAATAGCCAAAATAATTCGGCTAAATCTAACGATGATAATAAAGTCCAAATCATTGACCCACGAAGTATTAAGCAGATAACTTTAACGGCCGATGGCAATTTAGTGATTGAATTTAATAGTGAAAAGTTAGAAAATGGCGACTCAATATCGCAAAATCAACAAGTTATAACAAGTGAGCAAATAAATAATAATCAAGAACTCCAAAAAATTAAAAATTATTGCCAACGGAATGGGAAAAATAGTTTAAGTCAGCAAGAATTAAATAGCCTTATTAATACTAATAAAAGTGATTCCGCACTGGCAAACAAGATCAAGAATGATAATAATAACACACTAGCAATAGGATTAGTCGCAGCGTTCGCCTTAATAGTTGGGTTAGTGATTGGATTAGTTGTAAAAAGAAAAAAAAGAAATTAGTCAGATTTTTCTAAAGTTGGTTTGAGAATAGACAGCCAATTAACTGGTTCCTTACCCATTTCTGATAATAATTTATTAACCTTTGAAAAGGGTCGAGAACCAAAAAATCGCTCGGCACTATAAGGAGAAGGATGGACACTGATTAAACTGTAAGCAGTGCTAATTTGACATTCTTCGCCAATTTTCCGGGCTTTTTGCCCTCAGAATACTCAGATTAACTTTTTATTATAGTTTTTTAGGTAAGTTAGCAGAGAAAAAATGAACTCTTCTCACCATTTCACATGAGAAAGGGCCTGACCGTCCTTTACCGTTAGAGCAGTATTGAGTAAAAACACGCCTTCTTTAACTCAGGGTAGTAAATCACCTTTGCTGGGAGGAGTACAGTTTAGGTCTTTGCTAAACTCCAAAAAGATATTTCTTAAACTGGCCGGTATGTAGTTAGGCTTCTGAGTGCTAAAAGCAACTCCGTCTGCTACTTCTGGCAAGTGATAAGGGTCTTGGCCTAAGATTACCACTTTTATTTTATTCAGAGAAATTTCCCGAAAGAGACGAAAAATATTTTCTTTTCTTGGTCAACATTTATAATTTTTGTATTCTTCGTCAAGTTTGGATAAGAGAGAAAAGAAATAACTTTTCTGAGATTCTTGTTGAAAAAAATTTTCTCAACGGGGGTCAATTCTATCTAAGTAAAATTCTTTTCATAAAGCATTATTATACATTTAATTAATTTTTGTTTTTGTAGAGGAGGAAAGACCTTGCCAAAAAAGAAATAATTGAAAATACTCTGACGGAGTTAGATTTTGCGGGCGAATCTTATCCGAATATCCTTTTCCTAGAAAGTATTTTTTTCATTCTTTTTCTCAGTTCCCCGCAAAACTGCCCAGATTATTTAGAAGAGTTTTTCGTCGAAAGCGAAAGCAATTTTTTAAAAAACATAAAAAAGAAGTTAATTGTTCTTTTGACAAATTAACATCCTGGTAAGGATTAATTACTACCAATGCTCCATCCACTGAAGGAGAAGGAATAAAAGCTCCCCGCGGAACTTCTAAAACAATTTTAACTTCAGCCAAATAATTAATAAAAACTGACAAGGCCGAATATTTAGAAGAATACTTGGTAGGACTAGACGCCCATTTTTGCCCGACTTCTTTTTGAACTAGAAAAATTAAGGATTTAAATAAATGATGATGGAACAATAAATTAACTATTAGTGAATTAGTTATACAGTAAGGCAAATTACCAACAATTATTAATGAATTATCTTTGTATTGAGAGCAAAATTCGGGCCAGTTAATTTGTAAAGCGTCTTGGTGAAGATAAACAATTTTGTCATTTTTATTATTTTCTGCTAATCACTGAAATAATTTGGGGTCCTTTTCGACACCTATAACTTTTTGACCATCAGTTTTGGCTAACAAATTAGTTAAACTCCCATAACCACTACCGATTTCAATTATTATGGTATTGGTATCAATCAGACAACACTCAACTATTTTTTGAAGATAATTTTTATCAAATAAGAAGTTTTGTCCTAGTTCTTTATTAGGTGAAAAAATTATTTTTGGTGGAATAATATTAATTTTTTAAAATTTTCTTTTTGATTGTGACGCAGCGAGATAATAATAACTTTATACACATTTAATATTTTCTTGCGGATAATTCTTGTTTAAATAGTGATTTAACACTTGGATATCAGTCGGATTAATTCCTGCCATCATCCGCATAGCCGCTCCTAATGAGACAGGTCTTCTTTTGGTTAATTTTTCGCGAGCTTCTTCCGATAAATTGTCTATTTGGGAGTAATTTATTTCATCAGGGATTTTTCTGTTCTCATATTTACTTAATTCTTCTACTTCTTCTAATTGGTTTTTAATCTGTTTTTCGTATTTAATATTAACTTCTAATTCACGTTGTTCTTCTCAATTTAAGTTTTTTATTTCTGGTATTCAAAGCAGAAATTCCTTTAACGAAACTTTGTTATTTCTCAGTAAATCATGACCGCTTGTTGTATTTATGGTTTTTCATCGACTAATATCAAGTTGTGGGAAAAGATTGATCAAGTTATTATCAACCTTAAATACTAATTTTTGGAGATTGTGGGTAATTTCAGCCTGGATTTTTTGCCTTTTCTGAAATTCTTCTCACTCTTTGTCAGGTAAAAGTCCTAGTTGACGGGTAATCGGCCAGAGGCGAGTATAGACATTGTCATGTCGTAATAATAAACGGTATTCAGCTCGGGAAGTTAAAAGTCGGTAAGGGTCAGCAATTTCCTTCGTTGTTAAATCATCAATTAACACCCCAATATAGGCCTGGTCCCTCTTTAAAATTAATGGTTCCCGATTTTTTAATTTGCGACTGGCATTTATTCCGGCCATTAGCCCTTGGGCGGCGGCTTCCTCATAGCCAGTAGTGCCATTAATTTGACCGGCGGTGAAAAAACCCTCAATTAGTTTAGTTTCTAGACTAGTTTTTAATTGAGTAGATTCAACTACATCATATTCGATAGCATAGCCTCATTTTTTTACCACGGACTTTTCTAATCCCGGCAAAGTTTTTAAAATTTCGGCTTGAATTTCAGCCGGCAAGGAAGTTGATAAACCTTGAATATAAGTAGTGTCTAACTCCCGAGACTCTGGTTCTAAAAATATTTGGTGCCTTTCTTTATCAGCAAATCGGTAAATTTTGTCTTCAATGCTAGGACAATAGCGCGGTCCAGTGCCAATATCCTCCTTATAAAAAATTGGTGAGAGATGAGAATTTTCCCGAATAATTTGGTGAGTTTTTTCATTAGTATGGAGCAGATAACAGGGCAATTGTTTTTCAGGTGGCAATAATTCTTTATAATTACTTCGGGAAGAAAATCGGAGGGGTAAATTGGTACCCGGTTCTACTTTTAAACTAGAAAAATCAATAGCATTAGTTAAAATACGGGGCGAAGTTCCGGTTTTAAAACGTTTTAATTTAAATCCTAATTCTTGTAATTGTTGAGAAATATTATTTACCACCTTTTTTTCTCCGTCCGGTCCTTCAATTTTGCTTTCTTTACCCTTATAAGTAATGGGTTGTAAATAGGTCCCGGTAGTTAGAATTACTATTTTTGCTGAAAAAGTTTTGCCGTTGTTTAATTCTACTCCCTTAATTTTTCCTTCTTCAATTAACAAGTTTTTAACGGCTCCTTCAATAACTGTCAAATTTTGTTGATTATTTACTGCTTCTTGCATGTAGCGGCCATAAGCAATTTTGTCGGATTGAACGCGAAGGGCTTGCACGGCCGGACCATTCGAAGTATTTAATAACTTAAATTGAAGAGCGGTTGCGTCTGCTGCTTTTCCCATCTCTCCACCTAAGGCATCAATTTCGCGCACTACTATTCCTTTGGCTACTCCTCCTACTGAGGGATTGCAAGGCATCAGACCAATTTTTTTTTTATCCAGAGTAATTAAAGCGACTTGATGACCTAATCTTGCGCTAATTAAGGAGGCTTCAATGCCAGAATGACCCCCCCCTATTACTATAATATCGAACCCTTCAAAATTATTATTATTCATATAAATAATTTTTGCTAAGCAAAACGACTAGGGAAAACATAAAAACATTAACTTTTCCCCATTATTTTTATTCTACATTTATTAATTATTTAATTGGTGGGAGGAGAGGGATTTGAACCCCCGGTTTTACTGATCTACAGTCAGCTGCGATGGGCCACTCTGCCATCCTCCCTTTTTATAAATTTTCCTTATCTCATTCTTTTTGTTTTTCCTTTATGTAAATATAATAAACAATACCAGGGAAAACGAGGAAAAATAATATTAATAAAAAAAGAATCATTCAGTTTAATTTTGGCCTGTGCCTTCTAATGCACCTCCGACAAACCCTCTGACTTCCATAATGGTCCTTCCCGCAACGGCAACATCTTTTCTGTTGTGTGTGTGTGTGTGTGTGTGTGTGTGTGTCGTAATTCATGTTCATAATAATGTATTTTTTGTTATTTTCTAATGCTAATCTCTTTTCTTCTTTTTCATAATAATCTTAAACTGTCCAAACGTCATTTTATATGACGCGGTTCATCGTCATAATAATCTTCTAAATATTTATCTATTCAGTAATCTACTTTTTCAATAGTTTCTAGTTCGGCTATTTCTGGGTGAGTAATGTATGATTTTTGATTTGACATATATTAAAATGGTGCTGATTGTAGGAGTTGAACCTACAACCTACCGCTTACAAGGCGGTTGCTCTGCCAATTGAGCTAAATCAGCCAATTATTAAGTTAATTTTTCCATAATTTTAATTCGCTCTTGAATATCCTTAAACAAATGGTATATGTCAATTTTGGCTAAATCAACATAAATATTTTTTAAATGATTAAGGGCGGGATTATTATCCAAAATTACTTGATTTTTAGCGAAATTACTGACTAAAAACCTTAAATAGGGATTATCCGAACTCTCTAAATAGATAGAAAAAGGTTGAGAATCAATGCGAAAGGTCCAATTATTTCCAGATTCTTTTTCCAACAAATTAATAATTATTTTGGCCTTTTCAGTCAATTCTTTTTTTAATATTTCTTTGTTTTGAGCCGCTTTTTCTTTACTTTCTTTGCCAATAGTTTCTACTCAGGAAGTGATTTCCTCATTATTATCTAAAAACTCTATCTCTTGGCAAGAAAACCCGAAACTAGTTTTTTTACATTTCAAAAAACAAATTTTCTTTTCTTGGGAATAATCCTGTAAATATTTTTCTCCAAAAGAACAAATAAACCTTCCATCTTTATTTTCCAAAGTGGCTTTGTAAAACTTCATGAATTGGACCTCATGATAAACGGGTTCACTAATAAATCGAGCAACTGTTTTTCACATTATATATCTGGTAGAGTATGCTGGGCTCGAACCAGCGACCCCCTGCTTGTAAGGCAGATGCTCTCCCAACTGAGCTAATACTCTGTTATATTTAATATTTTTAATAATTAATCCAAAGAAAGGGTTCTAATAGGCATAAAAAGAAAGCAATGGATTTAATAATTAAATTTATTTAACAATCTTTTTTCTTTTTCTAATTATCGAGATTAAAACTAAAATTTATTAAAATAGGGAGGTGTGGCCGAGCGGTTGAAGGCGATAGTCTTGAAAACTATTAATACGCAAGTATTCAAGGGTTCGAATCCCTTCGCCTCCTCCATAAAAAGAAATTTAATTCATTGTTTTTTGTTATTTAAACAGCATAGAGGTTGAAGTAAAATATAAATATATAATAATATAAAAGAATTGACAAAAAAACAAAAAGAAACTAGTTTATTACTGCTCCTAAAAATATTATATATAATTACAAAAATATAATCAAAAATATAATAATAATACCATGTCAAAAAATATCAATAACAAAAAGGTCCTAGCCGAAAAATTAAAAACTCGCTTGAATTCGCCGGAATATGTTGAAGTGCCTGACTTAATTACTCCCAATGATAGAGGTAAGGAAATGATGGTGTGAATATTAGGGGAAAACCAAAATATCCACAAAAAAAATAATTGAATTAGTAGTTGATACGTAATAAATCCTGGTGGTAAGCAGAGTGATTATACAGTTCAATATGAAGAATTGGAAAAAGATGATTGAGAGGAAATCGTTAATTTAATTAAGAAAAGAAATGAAGAAAGAGAGAGAAATTACCAAGCTAAAAACAAGAAAATTGAGGATAAATTAAACAGTCAACCAGGATTGTATTACTATGATAGAACTGTTTTAAAGAATAAAAGAAGTAATTCTAATTTTAGTTATGGGGACAAAAAAGGAAGATATTTTAGCCTTTGAGGAGGAAGCGAAAATGGTCGCTCTTATTACCTTGAAATTAATGCCAATCATTCCGTTTTAGATACCTTTCCTTTTGAAAAACATGGATTTTATTTAATTGAAACTGATAAACCGATTGAAAGAAACGACGGCGTGGTTCGCCGATGAAGTGATTATGGCGAAAACAACCCTTCTAATTTCCATAAATGAGTAGAAGTTGGCGACAAAATTACGATTACTCCTTATGAAGTTGAAAATGATAGCGAATTATCCGAAAAAGAAAAAGCAGAATTAGGTCTAGTAAAGGATTGTGATATTTGTCGAAAAAATGAAAATGAAATGGATAATGGCACAGAAAAATGATATAACCTAAGGCTTTATCACGGACAAATCGGCAAAGTGATTCATGCTTGCTCTAATTGCTACAAAAACAAAGAGCAAGAATATTTACAAAATTATGAGTTTATTTTTGCTTTCCCAAAAAAAGATTTAACACATGAGGGCATTCCTTTTAATATTGAAACCATAAAAGGACGCACAACCGATTGCTATGTTGGCAAAAAGGACCAAAATGGCAAAATATTACAGCAACAAAATTGCTCTCACTGCCAACCTTGGAAGTCGCACAAACCTTCTAATTTGAATGAAAGCGAACTAGATATCAACGCTTTAATCCAATATTTCCAAAAGCACAGTATCAAAAAAATATCTTTTAAAAATGGGGAATTAATAATTACGCATAATAATAATGAAACTATCTCTTCACAAGAAGAAAATAATAGCCAAGAATTACAATTAGCCCGTAATATTATCCAAAAATCTAATCTACAAGAATTAACTAGTGAAGAATTAAATAAAATGGCTAATAATAATTCAAACCAGCAATCAAATAAACCTAATAATAACGCTCTCTGGATAGGCTGTGGAATAGGCGGAACCTTAGTAATTGGAATAATTATTGGTTGGTTAATGAGAAAGAAAACAAAAAATAAATAATATATGGAGCAACTGGGTGTCATTAATCAGAAAGGTGAAGTAGTAAATAATCTTTCTCTTAACTCTGAGAAGTGGAAGGTTCCACTTTCTAATTGAAATATTTCTCTTGCCAATCGTTATTATTTGGCTAATCAACGACAAGGAACTAAAAAAACGAAAAACAAAGGGGAAGTATCGGGTGGTGGGATTAAGCCCTGAAGACAAAAAGGCACTGGACGGGCTCGTTCTGGTTCGATTCGTAATCCCCATTTTCGAGGTGGTGGAGTAGCACTCGGACCCCGAGGAGTAGAAAATTATTCACACGACATTAACAAAAAAATGAAAAAAAATGTTCTTCAATCGCTATTGGGAGAAAAAATGAGAAATAAAGAACTGATTGTGGTTGATAAATTAACTTTAGAAAATTATAAAACCAAAGAAGCCAAAAAATTTTTAAATATTTTACCAACCAAAGAAGCCAAAACTTTACTTATTTTAGCCCAGCAGGAAGAAAATAAAGAAAAAATAATTCGCTCATTTCGTAATTTACCTTATATAAGCATCAGTAGTAGCAAGTCAATTAGTCCTTCACAAGCATTGTCCTCTCATTACCTAATTTTCACTCATTCGGCTTTTTCCGAAATAGAAAAAAGATTAATTTAAGAGACAAAAATACTATAAAATATAATAATATATACTTTTGAAAAATAAGTGGTTTTACCCTTCTGCTTAATTTTGAGAGGTATATTTTTTCTACTCTCTCTTTCTTTGAAAACTGAACGCAAAAAAAGATTTTACCGAAATATAAGTTACTAAGAGTGTATGGTGGATAACTTGGGACTAATAGACGAAGAAGGACGTGATATCCTGCGATAAGTTTCGGGGAGCCGGAAAATAGGCTACGATCCGGAAATGTCCGAATGGGGCAACCCATTGCTAGTAATGTGGCAAGGTCTAAGTTTCATGATACTTAGAAGTGAACCCGGAGAACTGAAACATCTTAGTACCCGGAGGAAAAGAAAATAAATAATGATTCCCGTAGTAGTGGCGAGCGAACCGGGAACAGCCTAAACCAATTATGTTTGTAAGTTGGGGTTGTAGGAAAATACATTAGGAGTTACCAAAGTTAGTGATAGAAGAAGTGGTTGGAAAGCCACGCCAAAGACAGTGAAAGCCTGGTATTCGAAATCAATAACTCTCCGTATTTCATCCTGAGTACCACGAGACACGTGAAATCTTGTGGGAAGCAACGGGGGCCACCCCGTAAGGCTAAATACTCATTAGTCACCGATAGTGAACTAGTACCGTGAGGGAAAGTTGAAAAGAACCCCGGAAGGGGAGTGAAATAGAACTTGAAACCATAACACTTACAAGAAGTCAAAGGGCATTAAAGCCTAATGGCGTGCTTTTTGCAGAATGAGCCGGCGAGTTATAATTATTGGCAAGGTTAAGTTTCTCTGAAATGGAGCCGTAGCGAAAGCGAGTTTTAATAGAGCGTATAGTCAATGATTATAGACCCGAAACGAGGTGAGCTAACCATGAGCAGGCTGAAGTGAGGATAAAACCTCATGGAGGGCCGAACCGTTGTTCGTTGAAATGACCTCGGATGACTTGTGGTTAGAGCTGAAATTGTAATCGAACCTCGAGATAGCTGGTTCTCCCCGATATAGTTGTAGGACTAGCGCAAGAGTGAAGATAGTGGGGGTAGAGCACTGAATAGAGAAGGGCCCTTAACCGGGTACCACCTCTAATTAAACTCCGAATACCATTATTGTATTATCTTGTAGTCAGTCTATGGGGGATAAGCTCCATGGACGTGAGGGAAACAGCCCAGATTATCGGCTAAGGTCCCTAAATAGTATTAAGTGTAGAAGGAAGTTGTGAGACAAAAACAGCTAGGAGGTTGGCTTAGAAGCAGCCATCCTTTAAAGAGTGCGTAACAGCTCACTAGTCTAGTCTCCCAGCGCCGAGAATGTAAGGGGGCTCAAATACTATACCGAAGCCATAGGCTAGTTGGTAATAAAAGAATTATTAATTATTAGCGAAGAAATTTGCTGAGGTTATCAAAAAGTAATTAATATTTTTCTGTTGCCAACTAGCGGTAGGGGAGCGTAGTAAAAGCGTTGAAGTTAAACCGTAAGGATTAGTGGAGTTTTTACTAGTGAGAATGCCGGCGTGAGTAACGATTGAAGGTGAGAATCCTTCTGGCCGTATGACCAAGGTTTCCAGGGTGAAGGTCGTCTACCCTGGGTTAGTCGGGACCTAAGGCGAGGCCGAAAGGCGTAGTCGATGGACAACAGGTTAATATTCCTGTACTATCATAATTACTGATGGAGTGACGAAGTCAGCTAAGGTAAACCAGTTATTGATTCTGGTCTAAGTATAAAGAGGGTGTGGTTGGCAAATCCGCCACATAATAACCTTGAAATATGATGGGTAGGGCAACCGAATTATCTGAACGCTTTGCTTCCTAGAAAAGCTTCTAAAGATATGATTATGATACTCGTACCAAGAACGAACACACGTGGTCGGGGAGAAAATCCTCAGGCCAGCGAGCAAACTATAGTTAAGGAACTCGGCAAATTAGCCCCGTAAGTTCGCGAGAAGGGGTGCCTAGGGCAACCTAGGCCGCAGTGAAGAGACACCGGCAACTGTTTATCAAAAACACAGCTCTCTGCTAACTCGTAAGAGGATGTATAGGGGGCGACGCCTGCCCAGTGCTCCAAGGTTAAGAGGGGGGGTTAGCCAGTAGTAAGATACTGGTGAAGCTCTGAATCGAAGCCCGAGTGAACGGCGGCCGTAACTATAACGGTCCAAAGGTAGCGAAACTCCTTGTCAGGTGAAAAGAATTTGCCTGAAAACAGTAGTAATATTGTTTAAGTAAACTAACTGATAACGGTGAACCCTAAGGAAGTAATTCTATGGGAATACCGTGGGAACACAAATAACTTTGTGACCCGTAACGACTGAAGCGAAAGCCGAGAACTCAAAATTAAAATTATTAATAATGAGTTAAAACGTTAGCCCTTATTTAGTAAAAGGTAATTATGAAGGAAATTGATTATAAATTAGAAAGTAAAAAAGATGCCTGATTAACAGGATTTGTCGATGGCGAAGGTTGTTTTTCCATTAGTTTTTCTTTACGGAGTAAAATGAAGCATGGTTTTGAAATAAGGCCAAGTTTTTCTTGTGCTCAAAGAAAAGATAAGGACAGTTTAAATAAAACGGTTCTCAATAAGATCCAAAATTTATTTCAGGCTGGGTTTATTAGATTTTCCAAAAAAGACCAAATGTGAAAATATGAAGTTCGTCAGATTAACGATATTTGTGAGAAGATTATTCCTTATTTTGAGACTAATATATTAAGGACTGCCAAAAAATTAGATTTTGAAAAGTTTAAAAAAATTTGTCTTATTATTAAGTCTAATCACCATCTCTCAGTGTCGGGAGTAAAACAAATCATCAATTTAGCATTTACAATGAATGTATCAGGCAAAAGAAAATATACAAAAGAATTTCTTCTAAAATTATTGGATAAGGTGAAGATATAGTCTGATCTAATAGGAAACTATTAGCTAACATGATTGAAGTTCTGACCCGCATGAAAGGCGTAATGACTGGTGTACTGTCTCAACTATAGGCTCGGTGAAATCTTAGTACCGGTGAAGATGCCGGTTACCCGCAACTAGACGGAAAGACCCCGTGGAGCTTTACTGCAACTTGATATTGGGTTTTTCTCTTGTTTGTACAGGATAGGTGGGAGACTGTGAAGCCAAGGCGCCAGCCTTGGTGGAGTCGTTGGTGGGATACCACTCTAACAGGCGGAAAATTCTAACTTATTGGTTTACAGCCAAAAGGACAGTGTTTGGTGGGTAGTTTGACTGGGGCGGTCGCCTCCTAAAAAGTAACGGAGGTGTTCATAAGGTATCCTCAGTAGGTATAGAAATCCTATGTAGAGCGTAAAGGTACAAGGATGCTTAACTGTGAGACCTACAAGTCGAACAGATGCGAAAGCAGGACTTAGTGATCCGGCGGTACTTAGTGGTAAGGCCGTCGCTAAACGGACAAAAGTTACCCCGGGGATAACAGGCTAATACTTCCCAAGAGACCACATCGACGGAAGTGTTTGGCACCTCGATGTCGACTCATCGCATCCTGGAGGAGCAGAATCTTCCAAGGGTTGGGCTGTTCGCCCATTAAAGCGGTACGTGAGTTGGGTTTAGAACGTCGTGAGACAGTTTGGTCCCTATCTGTTGTGGGCGTAGGAAATTTGCGAAGATCTGCTCTTAGTACGAGAGGACCAGAGTGGACTGACCAATGGTGTACCAGTTGTCTTGTCAAAGGCACGGCTGGCTAGCTATGTCGGGAATAGATAAGCACTGAAAGCATATAAGTGCGAAGCTAACTTCAAGATAAGATTTCCCATCCCGTAAGGGAGTAAGATACCTTCAAGACTAGGAGGTTGATAGGTGGCAAGTGTAAGTGCAGTAATGTATTGAGCTAAGCCATACTAATTTATCGAGGACTTATTTTTGGTATTTTCAATTTTGCGTTCGGTTTTGAGAGAATTTTGCTGATTAATTTGGTGAGAGTTTTTGAATAAACAAGATATTCTTAGTATTCATAAGGTATTTACTATATTATTAATTTTAAAAAGAAGTAAGTTTATAAAGATTTTATTTAGGAGGCATTTCAATCTGAACTTGCTGTTGTAAATATTTCTGATATTCTTGCTTTAATTGCTTTAGATTACCATAGTTATGGGCTCAGTCGCTGTTTACTTTTTTAACGTCCCATAGTCAAGCATAAAGAGAGGATTCATGCAGAATTTGCTCTTGTTGAGTTGTGGAGTGAATATTGGCTCAATTAAAATTATTATCTTCTAGGCTAAGTTTGGTGAAATCAATATCGATTTCTTGTGAAATAGATTCTCCTTCTTTTAATTTGTCAAATTGTTTATTAGTAGAAATGTTAACTTCGTGGGAACCCCAGAATCGGTCATTGATTTCTTTAGAATTTTGGGACTCTGGGAGATTTTTGAAATCTAGCAAACAACTGGTGTAGGTGGCTTGGGAGTAGAGTTTTTTAGAAGAGATAGATTTCTGCTCACTTATGTATTTGTCGAATTCTTCACTTATTTCTTCATATTGCTGGTAAAATTCGAACTTATTATGAGGTCTTCTAATTTTAAAATTAATAGATTCAGCATTAAATTTTATATATCAGTCATTTAATTCTTCCTTTATTTTACCGCTAGTAGGACGCTGGCTTGGATTAGCATCTCAACACTTTTCAATCAGACTTTTTAACAATTGGGGTATTTTGACTTTCTCTAGATTCGGTCGTAATCCTTGGCAGACTTTTGCTGCTAATAATTCATTGTGAGATATATCGCAATAAGGTGTTAAATGTGAAAACAACTCATAAGCAACTATGCCAAAAGAATAAACATCACTAGCTTTAGTGTAGCTACTTCCACGTAAAACTTCTGGGGCTACATAAGGTAAAACACCATAGATTTTACCATCGTCTTTTTCATTAACTGGTCGGCATAACCCGAAATCTGCAATATAGCATCGAAAATAATTATTTAGCACATTTCCTGCATGGAAATCCCGATGGATTAAACCCTTATCATGAATATTCGCTAACCCATTTGCAATATCGTTTAATTGTTCAATTTTTTTGTGAAAATGTGTGGCAATCTTTTCATATTTATAGTTATTTAAGTATTGCCTCAAGTCACCATCTTCCATATATCGCATTACCATGATGTAGTTCTTAGTTACTGGATCCTGAGAAATGCCGTAATAACCAACTATTCCTTCTTTCTCAGTTAACTTATGGCTACTCACTTCTCGTAGAAAATCAATCTTAATGTCTTGAGAACTATTCAAACTTTTTAGGGCAACTTTGCCAGGATATCTTTCTCAATCATTATTTTTAATACTCCAACCCCAAATTGGTCCATCAATTCATAACGCTCTTGACACTGTTCCAAATCCGCCCTTTGCTAAATACTCTACTCTTCGCAACTTGCGATAAGGTATCCACTCTAACGATTCTTTGTGGTTAGTTGCTTTTAATTGACATTCTTGAATAAATGCATCAATATCAGGATTTCCACTGGTTCAGTCCTTAAATTTTCTTTGTCAGTATTGAAAAATGCAAGACTGACACAAATCGTAACGCTGAGTATTAATGCAGTTACACTTCTTACACAATCCACAGCAATAATATTTTTCCCTTAGTTCCTCATTTGTTATTAACTGGTCAATCAATGATTTTTGCTCATAAGTTAATTTTTTGCAGTCAAAACTTTTTGTCTTTTTAATTACCCTTTCATTAATTTTATTATCCTCTAAATATTTTTTATACTGTTCTCGCAAATCTTCTCCCTGACAGTAATTCAGAACATGTGGGATATCCATCTTTAGGTCTCTTTCTTGCAAATTAACTAATCAATAAGCATACTCGGCATCATTAACGGTTAAACTAACATCTATTCATTCTTTATATTTCTCATAACTAATAAATCCTGCTCTCTTTCGATAATTTGAATAACAATCCTCAGAACAAAAATCTAAATTTTTTCCAGCATCACTAAATCAAGCTAATTTGTCATCCCCTATGTCTTTTTTACATTGATCGCAGATTACATTTCTTGGCATAATCTTTTAATATTTTCTTTTTTTCTTACGGTTTTTGGTAAGAATAAAGATTAAAAGTAAAGCAAATAAACCAAATGTTCCTATTCCAATATAAAGCATAGTTTTGTCAACTGATTTATCACTATTAACATTAGAATTATTCTTCTTTCTTAATAACCCTTCCAACTCCTTCTTTTTACTATCTAAAAGAGCCTTTTCAGTGAGAGTTTTATTAGATTTATTCTCTAATTCTTTAATTTCTTTTTCTAAAATACTAATTTGAGTAGATAGTGGCAAAGATTTAGTTAGTTCTTTTTCTTGTTCTTCTAATTCTTTTAATTGCTTTCTTTTAATCTCTAATTCAGTTTGGTTAAGAGTAGGATTTTGTTCTAATTGCATGATTTGAGTAAGTAATTGTTGTTGTTGAGATTGAAGTTTCTCTCTGTTTGTTTGTTTGTGTTATTGTCATCCTTGTCCGAATTATCACTATTCTCTATCAAATTCTTCAATCTCTCCATTTCTTCCTTATCTGCACTTTGTTCTTCTTGTAATCTCTCTAACTCGCTTTCTAATTCTTTTCTCTGTTTTTGCTTACAGTTAAAACATAAGGTTCCAGTTTTAGTTTGATTTTCCCTATAAAAAGACTGAAAATCTACTGCTTTACCATTTTCATATTTAAGACACTTTTGGACACAGTTTTCGCATAACTCAGCATTATGTTCTAAGTCACATGCTTGAGAACAGAATTCTAAGCCTGTTTGTTGGTTGATGAATCATTTTTTTGAGTTGGTTTGGTGGCATTCTCAGCAGATATTGTTTTGGTTTGAAGTTAATTTTTCAGAAAGACTATTTTTCTTTTCTTTTTTATTAGGTCTTATTTTTACACTATAATGAGACTGCTTAAAACAACTTTCACTACAAAAAAGAGGATTGTATCATTCTCAATCTGAAAAAGAAAAACTAGCAACTGCATCTATTGTTCATTTTTTTATTTTTTCTTCTTCTCTAAGATAAACATGACAATTTTCAGGAGCAATTTTTTTCTTACACTTATTGCAAGAATCTTTTTCTATTTTTTTTAATTGCACTTCCAGCAAAAGAAATTTTCTTTCGTGATAATTAATACCTTTCATCACCTCGCTAAGAACCAATTCATTACTACTTAGCCCAAATTGAACATATAGATTGCATAGTTTATTTCTCTCCCTATCATAGTCAGATAAAAGTCCTTTAATTTTCGATAAGTTAGTCAGATTATTAGAATTAATTATTTTCTCATAATCTTCATCAATTTTATCACAAAGTTTTTCATACTCTAAATGAAGCAAAGCGACTTTTTGATTTTTGTCCATGATTTCACTATATTATAGTTTTAATAAAAACTGCTGTGCAACTGAATATCTTAATCAAAGATTAGTCTCTATTTAACTATTTCTTTTCATCATCCTTCAAAATCCGATACATTACATAACAAGCCCCAATTATCATAATGTTTTCTAGAGTAATAACTTCTCAAATTCAGTGTTTTTCATCAGTATTTAGTCCCACGCCTGAGATTATTTTGTTATTATTTTTTATCCTATCTCCTAATTGCTTTAACTTGGTCATAATTTTATCCTTTTCTTTTTTGTCTTCATCTTGCTGGGCTAAAAGGCTGGTTAATCTTTCTTCTAGTTCACCTCTTTTCTTATCAGAGAGATTGGGATCTTTTAACTTTTCCTGAATGTTTTTTACTTCTTGATTTCTTTTTTCTTCTCTCTTTGCTATATCATCATATTTCTTTTTCCACTCATTTTCTTCGATTTGGGCTTGCTTGTTATCCTCCCTAGCCGCTTCTAAAGATTTACTTTTTAAATCATATTTTTCTCTTTTAGTTTTTTGACCTTGCTTGTAAGCATCATGTCCTTTTTTGCAAACATAGCCAATGCCGAGTAAAGTTCCGCATCAGCAAATGGCTTTGATTCCTAATGGTATTAATAATGGTGCTGGCATATTATTTAATATTCTTATTTGTATTTACTTGTTTTTTGATTTGATTTAGTTGATTAGTTAATTCTTGTAATTGATTATGGTAGGTTTCAATATTTTTAGTTCAGAGGGTCAGGGTGGATTTGATTTCTTTTATTTTAGATTCTATTTGTTTGAT